AAGGCTGGCGCTGGAGCCGAATTTGGGGACCAGGGCTGCTGCCCAGAGCAGAGAGGAGCCACATCCCTGATGCCACCACGGCAGCCCCCATCTCCCAGGACCTCTGCCAGTCCTGCAGCCCCCCAGGAGCCCCCCCCTCTTCTCTCCCGCACGCATCAAGCTCTTCGGAGAGGGGTGTTTTTTGGTTTTTTTCTTCTCCTGTCCCCACACGTCACCGGCGTTACCTCCGGGGAGCTGACATCTCCCCGTCACATCAGCATCAGCGCCAGCTCCCAGGTGGGGCCCTCGGAGCATCGGTACTGGTTTGTGGTGCACGGGGCGGGGGCGTGTGCGGGCACGCGTGCCAGGGCACTCGGGCAGCGTGTGCACGTGGGGGGGGCACGTGTGTGTGCGCGCGGGGGCACTTGACGGCACCGACGTACCCCCCTCCTCCTCCTCCTCCTCCTCCTCCTCCCGCCGCGGGCTGTGTCACATCCCAGTGCTGGGACGAGGGGCCAGAGCTGTAAACAAGCCCCACCACAGCCCTGGGCACCAGCGGCTCTTGACGGCTGCGTCGTGCTTGGCACCGCACAAGTAGGTGTTATTAATTAATTAGGCCGTCTCTGGCCAGGCTCCGATTTAATTAACGTCCTCGGAGCTGCAGATGCTGCCCTGCCCCGGGCTGCGCTGCCACGTGAGCCACCGCCGCTGCCAGGCCACCTTCCCTCAGGGCCACCACGGAGGCCTGTTGCTTGGCCTGAAGTCGGTGGCTCTCACTTGTTGGTGGTCACCCCCCTTCCCTCGTGTCCCTCTGGTTCTCCCCAATTTTCCTCCCCATCTTCCATCTCCGCAAACCCTGGGGTGGGGGCGGCTGGGGATGGGGGGGTCAGGGTGAAGGATGAAGCCCATGTTGACCCCCAAGTTGGGCTGGGGCCATGGGGATGACGAGGTGCTGGTGGTGCTGGGTCTCAGAGGGGTCTGAGGGGAAGGAGACAAGGCCCGTCAGAGCCGGGAGCGCTCCCCACGGGCAGGAGATGGGCAAGGTGTGCAGAGAGGACGTGTATGCGTGGGCACGCGTGTGTTCTGTGTGCAAGTGAACACGCGTGTGCGTGGCAGGAGCCTGGCTGGTCCCCGTGGTGGTGCAAGACCTCCCCAAGCCACCACCAGCAGCCCTGCCAGCGCGGCAGACGGGGCCGCTGCCACCGCCGCGCGTGTGCCCACACGTGCCAAGGGCTGCGTCGTGCTCGGGGTGTGTGTGTCCCCCCCAATGCCTGCGGCACGAGGAGGGGGCTGGGGGTGGGCTGCGTGGGCACAGCTGCCTGTGCTGGCCCCCCACCACCACCCCGGGGGCTCTGCGGTGCGGTGGGGAGCTGGCGTGCCTGCGTGGGCGCGCGGGTGTCGCGGTGTGACTCCGCGCGTGTAACGGGTGCCTGGCGCTGACACGGTGCCTGCGTGGGTGT